GCCAAATCGCGAATGCGGCGAGGTGCAAGCCATCAGACGTACATCACTGATAACCTCTCAATACGACATGCATGCTCTGGTGGAACGAGTGGACTAAGCCACTCAACTACCACCCCGAATTCCATGAAATCGCTGACAACATTAAACATTACAATTGTAGCCCTGCTGACTATTTCAAACGCCAAACGAAAGATACATGGGGGGGAGGGGGAAGGGAATACACGTACAAGATTATTAAGCGGTTCCAGGGGTGAGGTTTTCAAGACCCGTGCAAGCCATAATGCATATTTGCTCACGACCAACATCAGTGGCGAGTGATATCTGAACCGGTCCTATGCGAGCACCCCTTCGCCAACCGCACTCCGACTTGCATGGTAACGCACGGTCAAACGTACGTATGTATATGTACTGTACATTGAACTTCTTTTACACCTTACGTAGTAGCCAACCGTGCTAATCGGTGGTGCAAACAACCCCCCTACGCTCGAACCAGGGTGGGAACGATCTCATCCAGTCGTGGATTGACAAAGGGTAATACATTATTGTTGTTGGTTAATCATCTCAATGAGCAACACCAACATAAATACAACGTACAATGTCACATTGCTAATGGGATACTGCAATTCCAAACAAGTTTCGTTCGCTGCAAAGTTACCAACGGCCCTTGTCTAGATCCTGTGTGATTCGGTCCCAGTTGGGGTCATCAGGTGGGGCCTGTTGAGTTCAGAGGGGATCTGGTGGGGTTAGATAAAAGTCATTGGCATAGCAAACGAGTGTGCAGGCGGTGCAACTGCACTGGGGCCCCAAGGGCCGGTGGGGCCCAGGTGGCAGTCGATAACGAGCGGGGGTGGGGGGTAATTGGTGAAGAGGGCCTCCTCACTTTATACCTTGCGCCAAGGGCTCACGCAACCATGTGCACGCCACTGGTTTCTTATTCACTGCCGAGGCGCAGAAGCGGTGGCCTCGCCACCGTCGCTGCCCGTCGATTTGGGCTCCCGCTCGAAAGGCTGCGTTCATTAAAGCAGTCGCAGCGTCACCGACCACAGTCGCGGCGCACATCGCCGTCGAGTGCCACTCGGGTCGCCTCCCAAATTATCCGCGGTTCGTCTGGAAGGTCAGTGAGGTCAAGGGCGGAGGTGACGATGTCTCGCCACCCCGGCGACAGGCCTGAAACGGCGGCAGGGCCGCCGTGTGCGCCTTTGCCTTTGATGGCGCGCCGTGCGGCCGCAGAAGATATGCGTCGCGCAGGAGATGGTGGCTTTGCGCTCCGCGCTATAATGAGATGTTGTCGCCGTTTCCAATAACAGCAACGCACGTCGGCTGGCGTCGTTCCCTTGGCGTTCGCGACTGTGCACACGTGTGACGCAATACAAGACCTGGGGCTCGTGATGATTTATTTTTAATTGTCAGGCCTTTGTTATTCATGTCAATGTTATAATTAGCGATATAGGGTTACTGGTAACCTGAACCTAGAATTATTATTTTTTATTTACAAACGGGATGGGAAGTGTACGTCTTGGACTCATTTGAAATGACTCCAAATAAATAACCGTGCTCTGCTCCCAAATGGGCTTCACAGCTGTGCAGATACAGTATTGTTCACAATGAGCAAGCTATCATGGTCCAAAAACCACGAGCATATGTTTCTAAAGTGCATATGCGTATTCAGTTGTACAACATTTTGTTCACGAGACATCTTGTCCCGGAGTGGCACGTTCATTCATTTGCCCTTGCGTTCGGAGTTGACCTTTGTTGAAAAGGCCGGATTGTTGGTATCACGAATGCCTCTTTCATCCGTGGCAAACTTTTAATGCACAGCATTGCATGAACGGCATCCTGGCGATATCTCCTCTCAGCACTGTGCTTCCTCAGTAGCAGCTGCGGCAGTCAGAACGGCCGTGCCCACACGAGCAAGTTAATGACACAGATACCTCCTTATCTGCTCGCCGATAACGCGGATAAGACGCCTTCTTCTACACCAGTGGATTTCAACGTCTCCATCCCAGAGCCTTCCTCTCTTGCTCCCATTCTTCACTACAGCTTGAACAGACTGTTGGGCCCAGTGCTGTTAGTGAACACCGACGAAGGCCAACATGGCACACGAGGGGGGTAGGTGGTCAGCACCACGCCCGGTCGCCTTTGTCTCCCTAGTGGCGATCTGTTCACATCGTACTCGGCACGCATTGACCGTGAGTCGACCTAGGACCGAGACAAATAACCATCACTGGTGTTGGTCGTGAGCCGGATTAGAACTCTGGTTGCCGGGTTTGTAGCGAACTGCCACACTACCACTCCGCTATTCTCCACGTTCTTCACTATGCACCTCTCAGGCACCTCCTCTAACTTTAAACCCTCTGTGTCCCCCTCCTCTTTATTCCAAACACTCAAAGCTGAACTGTGTGCCCAACTGTAGCCGAATGCACGGGCACACGTTGTTCTGGGCAGTCAGCTTTTCGGCTCAATTTCCACATCAATGGGAATAAAAGGCCAGTCATTCTTCTAAGGTAGCGGCGGAACCATCTGCCCCGTCCTTGCCCTGCCAACGCTCCGGATCTCGCTACCCCGCGGTTAAGAGGCACCGCTCTACGTTGCCTACCGATGATGCAGATAACCCAAAAAAATAAAACATATCACGAGTGCAGTGGTGGCAGATCTCAGTGACCTGATAACTGATGACACGGATGCTGACCAACAATGGCAGGGACGTGACAATCCTACCAGCTCGCCGATAACAGTAGTGCGACGCCTTGGCTAACCGATAACGGAAACCGAGCGGCGAGCGGTGCTGACACCTTATCTCTTGTTGACCACCGCGGGTGGGACAGAGCGCTGTGGACGTGACACGAGCGTGCGTGTGTGCGCGCGCCTCGGTAGGGGAGCGGCGGCGAAGCGCTGAGCGCACCACGCCGCGAACCCGACGGCCACAGCCAACATCAGCGGTGATTATATCTGAACCAATCCTGGTCCTCCCTGAGGTCGATTCATTCTTAAATAAAGTACCTGGTGCGGGGTGTAGTCACCAGCACTGGGGAGACAAATGCGGCCTTGCCGGCCTCCGTCCGTGCTCACGAGCAACATCAGCCCAAACAGCCTGTACGGCGACGCGGAGGGAGGGGGGGACCATTGTCTTTGTCTGATGCACTTTTTGGGGCCGACGTCCATTTAAAAACCACGCCGCTAACTACACATCCAGCAGAGACACCGCACTCCTGAATGGTAAATGAAGAGCCAGGGATGAGCTTACACCTCCTTAACATTCTCCACTCGGCCGCAGCGTGAAAAGCCGCGCACACAATGCCCGCTAGTTGCTCGAGACGACGTCATTTTTTTTCCTAGCCAGCAGCCAACTTACTCAGTTAAATAAAGAGCCAAATATGATATACGAGATGTGCCAACGGCCCGATGAAGTCCATCAATAATTCACCGTGGAGCAGAGTGGCGCCGATGCCACGCAAAGGATAGCTCTCTTTTAATTTCCCTAAAAGAGACCTCGAGCAAAAAGGCTGACCGGCAACCACTAACAAGATGGGTTTCCCAGTTTAGAACGCGACAAAGCGTTTGCGACACCCTCTAACCCCGCGCCAGCACAGATTATCACGCGCATTCCCGCTGCTACCGAACCATTAGCTGCGATGCATCGACAGGAAACCACTGGTGGAGCTGGCCGGACGGCTCAGTAATTCCTCAGTACTGAAAGGGCAATGCCAAGATCCTGAATTCGAAGCCGGGTTTCAGCCGCCTGCGATGACACCGGCTTCTCCGGCGTCGTGAGTTTGATGGTCCTCCCTTCTGGTGACCGACGACGGCACGAGAATAAAATATACACATTAAATTATCTCTTCACTTAAAATTGGCTTATTCCGGCTTTGTGACTTTACATTTTCGGTTTGGGTGACATGCAACGGACATTATTTGTAGAACGTGGGCGTCGGCCTGGGATAAGGAGGCCTGCTGAGGTGACTCCTGAAAGACAGCAACCTTCTGGGGCCATTCTCTGGCACAGGCCGATACATTGCTAGCTGTAGAGATGCAAATAGAAAATTGTTCTCATCTCACGACGCGAGGCTGATAGCGAAGTTGAAATAAAAATGGGAGTGGGGAAATTATATATATTCGTTCGGGGGGGGGGGGGTGTGGGGAGTGGGTGAATTTCACATTGAAAAAATATCGCACTAAGTGCAGCAGAACAACTTCAACGGAGAGTCGGGGCCTGTGGATCTCTGTGAAGCCATCGGGCCTCCAACCATGAAGCAACGCGAATTCCTAAAAGGGCTGCGTCAGATGCAGCGGCGCCGTTAGGGAGACTCGGCACAACCCTCAACCCTCGCGCCGTCATTCTCGACTTGTGGCCGCGACAATGACGTAGATCGGACGCACGACTCACACAGGTCCACCAAGCCATTGTGACGAAAGTCGCAGCAGAGGTCACCGCAAGCAGGAAGGCTCCCTCCGGTTCTGAAGCAGAGCCGATGCGACGTGGATGCAGCCTCTCCACGGCGTGCGTGCGTGCGTCACGTCCCCCCGTGTCACGAGGCCCGCGGTGTCAGTGGGGCTGGAGGCAGGTCGAGCCCCCCCCCCCCCGCCCCGCTCAACCCTAACCAACCTTATAAACGCTTATAAGGGGCCGTCCATAAATGACGTCACGCGATTTTGGACGATTTTTGACCCCCCCCCCCCCCATCGTCACACGGCGTCACAAAAAGTCAGACCCCCCCCTCAAATATGACGTCACGAAGCTCTGCCCCCCCCCCCCCCAAAATAAATAAAACACGCTTCAAATCGCTTTAAACTATTGTCATTGTAGTGCGTATTTAATGTGGCGCTGCACTCTGATGTTGTAGGAGAAAACATTTATTAAAAAAAGTCTATTGAATTAAGTAGAACGTGTTGCCTATATTTATTTCAAGTTGCGCATTTTGATGTGACGTCACATTTCTCAACCCCCCCCCCCTCGTCACACATCGTCACAAATGTCTGACCCCCCACCCCCCCCTAGGTGCGTGACGTCATTCATGGACGGCCCCTAACAACAAAACAGCACAATGAAACGATGGGCGTCTCAGCCTTTTCCTTGTAAACCGAGGAGGTGACAGCCAGAGCAGAGTGCACGATCGACAACGGCAGATGATACATCTTTACTTGTTCTGTTTCGCGTTTAATATTTGTTTAAAGTTTCAGTGCTGAATGTCATGCCCTGCGTGAGTGGATGTCTGACCCTCCCCCACCCCCGCCTTTTAAACAAGGTCGCACTGCAGGGGTCGCGTGCCATTACACGAGGGAGGGAAGCCTCGCCCAGGACCCGTGCACCGCACCACACGCAGCTCGTCGTCGGAAAACACAGGGGCACCGTCGATCGAGCGCATGTACGCTTCGCTTACCACTTAAGACACCGTATATATCTGTACACATGTACACTGTGATACAGGACAACACTGCATCACGTATCGTACTGCCAATAATTATTGAAACGAGCTCCGCCGTAACATCATGGATGGTTTTCCAACCAAGATCAATACATTACACCAGCAAAAAGAACGTGTGATACACAATAAGCTTGACCTGTCATAACCTTTGCTCTTTTTTTTTACACGTGACACGTGTATACAATGTGCTTTGTTGTTTACCAACGGACTAAATGGCCCATTGTGGATGTAATCAATGGACGAACTTTTTGCCCGTTGCTGAAGAGCGTTGTGGGTGCAACGCCACCCCACCGACGAGCCAAACCCAAGCTCTGCTCATATCCGAGCGAGGAGGCCGGATTGCGGCATTGGGTGGTTTGTTTTCTTCCCACCCTCCTCCTCCTGTTGACGCTGCTGGTTAATTTGATTTACTTTTCAACAGGCACGGAGGTTCGCCGTCCGATGACAGCTGCTGACGGCACCGTTCCCGAAAAGCAGCCCGCGGGCGTGAAGTGACGCCGCCGTTTGTTTTAAAGGTCACCAAAAGAACCCCAACCGCTTCTCGGGACCCGGCATGGTCGCCGCAGAATTCTCCCGAGCCCCACCAAAGCGATTACGGCTACACAATTAATACATACAATTCTCGTTTCGCCTAATTAGTTTACCCGTGTTAACATTTTTGACTTACATTTTTTTTCTAATCCGGTGTTATTTTTACCTGCTATACAAGTGTTATTGAATTTTATTTTTTAAAACCGTTCCCTAGGTCATAATAACATTGTTAAATATTTAAGAATTTTATAGTGTTGCCATAAATCTACGCACGGTGCGCACTGCATATAACATTGTGTTGGTGTCGTGTAAGGCGCCTTTGGGGAATCCTCTCAATTGGAGGGCGAGATGGTGGTGAGAGACAGAGGGTGGTGAGCACGTGGTGAGTAAGCGGTAGGAGGGCGAGCGGGTGGTGAGTAAGCGGTGGGCAGGTGAGCGAGTGGAGGGTGAGCGAGCGAGCGAGCGGTACTGTGGGTCTACCGAGCCCGAACGCGAAATGCCGCGTTGCCACCAGCGCCACTCGCTGTCACCGCTAGGCAGATCTAGTCCAATGCATCCACCAGGTTTGTACAGACGCCCATCGCAGTGTTCAGCACTCCTTGAAAATAAACAAAAATCTCACAATGCTCGTCATTAACACTGCCTTGCAACAGAAAACACATAACAGGGCTCTGCTTCAGAGATAGAAGGCAATGAGATTGACTGCTTTGTAGTTGGAGATCGCACTTCATGCCGTGGGGGCTCAGACAGAATTGGGATTTGTGACAAATGAACAGTTGTGAATTGACATCGAAAGGTTTCCCATGAGCAGACATTGAGCAGCAAACCAACCCTTCGAAAAAAATGCCTACAAAGTAAAATCATCAAATGTCACTGCTACACTGCATCATGAGAAGTGGCACCGTGATGCAGAGACCATTATTACGCTCAATTAAAAAAGATAAATATCCACATGAAAAGTTGGGCTTCAAAAGCATGAAAGACCCTAAAAAGCAATTCACGAAACATTATGCATAAGCATAGATTTGGTAACACTTTCCCGCGTGAGATTGTCTGATAATATATGCATTGTCTTTTAAATTGATTGGTCCACACCAGACAGCTTTCTCACCCCGAGCTCTCATTACTCTGATAGTGCATTGTCTTTGTGCTGTACGCCTTTTGGCGTCCTCTGGTCTAGCACCGTTTGAGACGAGGCTCAAAAGAAAGCTGTCTCTGGTGTGGAGCAATCAGTTTCAAGGACAAAGCATAGATTATCAGAGTTTGTTTTTTGTTTGCATTCTGACCACAAGTATTGTGGTTAATGCAGACATGATTCCTTGTTAAAGGTTTCAGTTTGGTGTTTTAACATCTTAACACCTGTTTTGTTGCCAGAAAAAAAGGGGAAACCCCTATTATCATTCTTCAGAAGTATTTTATTACCGGTACGGAAGATTTTCCCTGAACTGTCAGGGAAAATCACGTTGGCTCTGGTTTGTGTCTCCAAGTTTTGAGCAACATTTTCCCGGTTTTCAATTATCGTCAGTTCCTGAGAGCAACACGACTCTAGACTAAAGTTTCATTCTTATTTGGTGATATTTAGTGTTTTGGCGCCTTCCCGTTACAAGTGGACGATGGACGGACACCACTAATGCAACACGCTTTCAGCCTCGGTTGGAAATCGTTAAAATCGGCGGCAGAAGTCACAAACGAAAAACACGCCGCTCGTCCATTCCCCTACGGAGTTGCCTTACGAGGCAGTGCCGAGTTACGGCTGCAAAGAAGGCCCAGGAAGCACTCTCGCGACATTACAGCGACGGCAGTTTGAGCTTTCAATTAACTGGAAGGGCGGCCGGGCCATCAACGTCGCGTCCAGAATCGTGCGAATGCAAGAGCCGATGGCGCAATGCCCCGCGCACTTCTATGTGCGACGTCCGATATCCTTCGTCAAGCCCGGACATCGTCCTGCAAAGGCAGTGCCTGCCACAAGCGGCGACAATTTGTCAGCGATGTTGTGTGACATTTAAGGTCGCGTTTCATTCTCAGCGGGGACACTTCCAGCTAAGCCAACACGCGGTCACAGCACCGACACTCCGCAGTTGTGGCTTGCCAAGTGGAAACGTCCTCTGTCATTTGCACGCGTGTAAGCGTACGTTTTGTAAACTGTACAGGAGTGGTGGTGCGATGGTTAGCGTGCTGCGCTGCGAACCGCACCATCGGTGTTTGATTCCTTACCATGCGCGACATCATTGGCGAATTACGGTGTAAGTGAAATAGTCCAGGTCATTCCCTAAGCCAACTCAGACTGGAATACGTCCTTGCTGCAGTGTGTAACCATGACTCTTAGGGAGAGAGAACTAGCCCAGCCATAGCACGGGCCACACCATCACTTTGTGCTCACTGACACCAATTGCTCTGAGAGAATGTAAAGTAGGCTACACATTGCAACTTTGTGTGTGAGCATGCACGCACGTGTACGCACAGTGTGGTAGACGCAGAGCACATTCGGAGGGAGAAAAGGGTCGGTAGATAATGAATGAATTGCAGGTGTACAATTCATGTGAAACGTGTCAAAAGCGGCAGATGACATACAACGACCGTCTAAACATTGTACCTGTGTGTGAGTATAATATATACGGGAAGCGGTAGTGCAGTGGTTCGCGCACTGCAGCGCACTGCGCTACGAACCCAGCGACCCGAATTCGATTCCTGCTCGTGGCCAACATCAGTGGTGAATATTTGAACCCGGTCCTGGGCCACCACCCCTAGGTTGATGCGTAAAAATCGACACTGAGGAGTAAAAGGTGGCCGAGCATGGTGTTGGCCACACCACCCCCCTCGCGTGACGTTTCCTGCCTTCACATGCGCTCACAAACGGCACTCGCCACAACAGTCTGTTAAAGGCTATACGGAGAATCTTTGTAGAATACATGAGCCACGCAACTGCTGCAGGAAGAGGCCTAATAATGTCCGGTCGTGTTCTGCGCGTACGGACGTATGCATTAGAGTACGGCACGTGTCTGCGGTGTACGGACAACAGGGCCCACTTTAATTCTGGACGCGTTCTCGGTCGGACAGCTGTGGAAGCACTCGGCTGCAGGGCAAAGGAGTTGCATAACAACGGCGGGCATTTGGTATTATTTATAGAAATACGTTAATGAGCTTTCATTTCTTTACAGCCCCATTAAACGGGATAATGTGATTGGCCTGGGTGGCTGGTGAAACTGTCACCCGACTCGATGCAGGCAGAGTGGACATTCGAAACGCTCGCACGATTCAAGCCGCGATGGCAGCGTCAGTTTATCCGTAGCGCCTTTAACTTATACAGAATTACCTCACCGAGCCTCATGATCCCTTTTCAAGAGAATCCTGCGTTGGGATGTTTGGTAAATTTGTCAACGAGCAGTTTGGAAGTTGGTGGAAAACCAGGATATGGTATCTGGAGAATACCCCGCACGGACGAGAGGTGAACACTTGAAAAACTATACAAATGGGTTAAGTGGCGTAGCATGTTTGGCACGCGCCCCTTGTGCAAGGAATGAAATTGGGGCCCTCCCCAATGCAATTTCCCCCATAGAGCCCACTTTCACCGTACTCTGCCTGCACTGTCGATGACTACGCTGCTGAAGTGGGCCCGCAACCTCCTTGCTCTCCTAACAATTTACAGAGCCTGGGGAGAACGATCAGAGCTAACCCGCCGGCAGCCGCAGCTCATGCCGCAGGGCTCCAAAGGGAACAGAGCACGCGCGCCGCAGATTTGTGAAACGCCTTCCCGTGGGGAATAGGCATTTGCCTTTACAGCTGTTAATCATCGTGTCGCATGATTAATTTAGCTGCGTTTATAATCACTAAGGAACGGTGACCTTACAGTGCCGCGATCGTGGTTCCGTGGGTGCCAGCGTGTGTGTACGCTCTCACGAGACGGATGACAGAGCGAGACAGAGAGAGACAGCCACGCGTTCATCACTGGCGATGATGTCGCCCTGCAGGAACGGCCCAATTAGCCCGGCCGGACGGCCAGTTGAATTTCTCTGTCAACGGTAATTTTGTGGATGTGATAAATTAGGCACCAATTTTTTTTTTACGCGATAGCTTCACACGAAATGTGCGTGCGGCGCAGTGCGGTGGGTGGTTGCGAGAATATCCTCGGTATCGTGTACGCACGCGACAGGAGGTCCGATGAATTCCCCGGACGTTAAGAGTACACGCGTGCTTATGGCCTCCTTCGATAGAGTGCGCAATCTCTACGGCCAATGCTGCAGAAAATCAACGACAGTGGGTGAGAACACCCTCGTTCAGGGTGGTCCTGCTAAATTTGTGATGTGTGAGCAATTTCATCAATGAGTTTTTGGCGTTGTAGGAAACCTGAGAAAAACCCACAATGCATACGTGGTGGGCTCCACACAGATGGATTGAAACCATTACTGTACAAGTCCTAGTTATGGCCACCTCGCAGCCTAAGTCTGCCACACTCGGCATTCCGAGGTGACCTCCCGTCCAAGCGCTGTCCGGTGTCGACCTTGCCGAGCATAAATAAAAAGTTAGGTCATTCCACGTGAGCCTCGGAGTACGTCGTCGGAATAGTTGAGCGTCTCAAGTTCTTTGTCCGCCCGTCGTATATATTTTTCAGCACAAACACGAGAGCCTAATGGGTCTGCCATGCCACGGTAATTGTAATCACTGCAGTGTGCTGGTAATATGCACAATTAAATGAGAACTCATGACACGGGAAATGCTCATCCCAAGCTGAAACAGAATAATAATAATAATAATTTCCATGCGTCAGCGCTCGCTGCCCTCACGCCGCGAGATCTTCGTGGAGCGTGCCGGAAAAATGTGCCGGAGGAGCGGGCCGGAGCGGTGTGCTGGAGTGGTGTGCCGGAAGAGTGTGCAGGAAGAGTTTGCCAGAGGAGTGGTGTGCCGCCGACCGGCCACGAATGATCTTGTCGCCCGCGGGATCTCGTAGTGACAAATATATTTCCAGGAACACGACTTACCCGCCCTTCCCGAGTCCACTGTTGTCTCTAAATTACTGTTTACGTCTTAAACACCACCCCCCCCCCCCCCCATCGATGCTCGCTGTGTCAGAGGCACCCGAGCGATGCCTCGGTGCCGGCGACTCCGGAAATTTCCGCCGCGACCCCCACCGTCACGGGTTGAGGAAAGGGGTGCTTTTTTGTTTCATTTCAATCCGCGAAAACGGGGTGGGGGGGCGGGGTGACATTTAGCGATGGATTTCCTTCGGCATAAGGAATGGCTGAAAAGGCAGTGGGTGAAACACCCCACTGAGCCCATCGCACTTTAAAACAAACATCATTTGGTCACCGCCAGGGTATAAATGCAATAGTTCACGTTGGCGATGGCCCGATTTGAGAAAGTGCATCAGCAGCCGTTTTTGGTTTGTCAGTGCTCAGATGCAGATCCTGTAGGGCGGGACGGAATTAAAAACACAATCTTGCGGGAGGATCAGTCATTAAAATAAATGTTAATGAATTCCAGTTTCACATTTCCAAAAGCGTTCATCGAAATGCACCCACAGACGCCTCCCAGTGCATCGCGGCGCATGCGAGGAAATTCGCGTGAACGTCGGCTCAGATCGTTGCCATTGATCGTACCGGGGCGATAATTTTGCAGGTTGTAATGATCTCAACCCTGGTGGCAATTAGGTAGTCCAATACCTGCACCTCGCATACAAAAAAATATATCCCGGTACGAGAACGGTATTATTGGAGCAAGGCACTTCGTCTCGATGAGTCAAGCCGTTAGAAATAATTTAATTTCCGCGCACGCTCCAGTGGTAACCCAATGCACGCGTCCAGACACAGGGCACATGCACGCATGCACACACGCTGCACACACACACACGGGCGCAGACAAAGAAGCCTCGAGCAGAACCGCAGCAGCTCCTCCGTCGAGTTGCCAGGGTCGAAGCATCCGCCTTTGGCAGCAGCTGCAGAGCCAGAGCTGAATATTTGTTTTGCTGGTAGACGGTGGTAGGTGGCTCATGCCTACTCTCAGCCACAACCATAGCAAGGGGTATACTGGATGTGGTGTGCCGAGTGCGAAAATATTTTGACAGCCGTCGACTGAAAACGACCGGGCTAAAATGAATCCCTGAGCTGAACTTCGGAGAGAGCTCCTTCTACTCACGG